TCAGACAGCATGTGTTGGAGGTAACAAGACCGCTATTCGGAACAAGTAGGGTTGTCAACATGGACAAATATTATACGTCCGTGCAGCTTGTCCAGGAGCTCCGACTGAAAGGCCTCTATGGTCGCGGCACTATCCGTGCCAGCAGCAAGCATTTCCCAGGCCACACTATTCTTCACAAAGACGACTGTACCCGAGGGGACTATCGCCAAGCTGTCTCGCATCGCAGCATGCTTGCAGCGTCATGGTGCAACGGTAACGCGGTCAACCTTGTGTAAATGTGGACTCAACGAACATTACAACTTCCACCCGCATGGTGGGTAACGAGAAGCATTCGTTTCCAGCTCCAGAGTGAGTCGCTCAGTGTAATACCTATATGCAAGGTGTTGATCGCCTTGATCAAATACGCGGGCGATTCTCTACTGCAGATGGTCATTCGTACAAACGCTGGCACAAGAAGTTGGTGCTCTCGCTCATCGATGTGGCGCGCTCCAACGCGTATCTTACGCGACGTTTGGTACAGGCGGAGCCAGCAACGCGTGATCCTCATAGAAAGTTTGTGATGGAGCTAGTTGGTGAGCTTCTCAATGGACAATGGAAGAATGCACCCAGCGACGGTCGCATGCTGTACAGCAGATAATTGGGTGACGGAGGAGAAGGAGGCCAACTCGACACGCTCTCTTCCCAGCCCTCTCCTAGTGTAGTTGCTGTGCTCCCGACAACTGCATGTACTTCCGTGGCTTAGAGGCAAATTCATGTCGAGAAGAGCAGAAAGCGGCGCCGCTGTATTGCTTGCCGATGGGAGGGACGATATCCTACCGAGGTAACCAACTATTGCCTCACGCATGGTGTCTGTTTGTGCCGAGTTGTGCACGACCGCCCCGTCAAGCTATGCATGTGTCCGTCGACAACATCAACATGCTGGGATAAGTTCCACCAATTTTACTACCCTAACGCATTGTTTACAGATAAGGGAAATGTCAGGCGACACCCCAAACTCGCCAAGTTGAAGGATGCGCACGAACCCAGGTCTCAAGCAGTAAGGCGGTCTGCTACCGCTCGCCAAATTGCGTACGGGGCAGATCTCGGAGGTGCCATCGCTCACGCACTTGACAACGAAGGAGATGATGATACACAGGGTCTTGCTGCTTTCGTGGTTAGCGGTAATGCTCCGCCAGGGTTTTGTTGCGTTTGGCAGTAGCAATCTTTCGACTGGACTAGTTGCGCCTGGACCAGACGGCGAAAGGCCGTTTGGACGATAGGCCTGAAAGTGTGTTGGCTAGCAGACTTAGTGGTGCCCGTCATGATGATCGCGAAATTGGATGCACTAGTGAACGTGGTGGTGAGCCCGCCGACGTGGCAGTGGTGCCGTTCTCACAGTTGGCGAAGACACACACGAACTTGATGGCGGCGGTAAAGCTCCTTGACTTGCCATAGACGACGCGCGCAGACTTGGAGACGGGGGGGGGGGGCTCGGACATGGTGGTGCCGCTGGTGCAGCCGGTGTCGGCGGCGCACGTAGCCTTGGTGACCCTAGCGGAGTCGGTGGCAGGCTAAGTGCTTCTGCTTGCACAGACAGCGAAGATTGGCGCGAGCTTGGTGGTGCAGCACATACAGTTGGTAGCCGTGGCGCTTGCCGACTTGTCAGCGACGACGCGCGAAGACATGGAGGTCTGGATGATCACAGACTTGGTAATGGCACCCGCGGACTTGGCGGTGCGGCTGGTACAGTCAGTGACGGCAACGCTCATGAACCCGGCGGTGCTCACGGAATCAGTGGTTACTCGCATGACGTATGGGCTACTGCTACACTAGGACGTGATGATACTGCACCTACCGGGGTTGCTGCTGCCGCACGCAGACTGGGTGGCGAAGCTGCATTTGCTCTGGCGGCGGCACTCATGAGCATCGAAAAGACTTTGATTAGAAGCAAGTATGAGATAGCAGAATGGATCAAAGTTTATTACGGTATATGTAAATGGGATGAGGTGTAGCCTTCCAGCTACATTGTACTTCTAGTTGATGATACAGTTTCCAACTCTTGCAGCACGGCTCCGAGCACGGTGATCGATGTCTAGGGCTGAAGAGCGACGTTGAAACTATCACCCATGCCTCTGGCATTGCGCTTAGCTCTTGTGAAACAATCAGCTTAGCATCTTCTTCAAATAGAAAGATCTTAGCAAAGACAATTGTGGCTTCGCAAATGGGAGAATGCCGTGACATCGAAACATCTCCTACATCGACTTGCTTGTGCAGCACCTTACTGAGCCGTGGGTACTGCTTGCGTACCTGCTGCATGCATCGTCGTCCAAGGGAGACGAGCTCCCTTCGCAGCTCGATCCCGATGCACGTTCTGACGTTCGTTGTAAGTGCTACCTGCGCAAGCACGTTGTCAACGCCAGCTTCGACGTCAAGAAAGACGTCAGCTTCGCCGAGTGGTCCGACGGCAGCAAGTAGAAGGGTGACACTGGACGGTAGCACCTCACTAGCATTGTCATATGTGCGTCCAGCGGGCTGGCGAGCGTCGTGAGCACTTATACTTCCGAAAATGATATCCACGGCTTCTGCAGCTTCAGCTGGATTCAGATTGCCTCCACAGCCCCCAACACCAGCACCTACACACACATGTTAGTATTTGCCGACGTCAATTGTGGAACAAACAATCCGAGACTCACCTGAAGCGCTTTTCGCCTGAGTCACCTGTGGCTGACAGCATCCCCCGCAAATATCGCGCAATATAGCCACCAGCGGGTCCTGTATCCTCACCTCTACAGTCTTGGTTTCCCTGATCCACGTCGTCTGCCATCTGACTGCCTCCGGCGGCGCTCCCATGCGTATCGCCACCAACTTATCGTCATCAGTCTCACGATCGGCATGCAAATATCCCCAAAAGAGACGAACCTGGCATGTGGCGATCGCCGCCGAGAAGTAGAGAATTTGACGAAGTAGCAGAAGGTCGGCATGCTGGCTTACGACTTGCTGCAAAACGAGGGGTGGTGGTGGTGGTGACCTCAGCGCTCCGAGAAGACGCCTTGATGTCATGCCGCGGAGAAAACATGGCGGAAAGCCACTTATCGCCTTTCCATGGGTCCGCTTGATGCTAGCCAGCCGAAGCCGCAGTTGACGGGCCGGCCGCTTGGTCTGCATTCGGCGAGCCACGTAGGCCCATGTGATTCGTAAGCCCTCCCTTTCGAATTGAAAGGCGATCTGCACCAGCAGCTTATCTTCAGTGTCTGTGAAGGTAGTGCGCATTAGTGTTGAGTACACTATAGCGAAATGGGAGGTCGGAGAGGTGCATTCGTCTTATCTTTTGTATGTTCTGGTGACTGGCTGTCAGGCGATTGACCGCTAGATCCATGGCACGACCGCGTAGAAAGGGCCGATTACGGTCGTTGGAGCAATAAAATACTGTGCGATGAGCAGACGATCCAAAATTACCTCCAACCTCTTTCTATTCACTGCTGCGATTGGTAGTTACGAAACATGGTAGACAGAGTTGGAGGAAAAGCTAAAAGGGCGCAAAATTCGCTCTTTCATTTTCCACCTTGTTTTGGTAATAGTGTTAAAGGGCGAGAAAAGCGCCCTCGCACTGCGAAAGGGTTAACTAAAACATTGGTCATATAAAAAAAAATATGAATCAAATCAGCAAAAGTGATCCAGTAGTTTTGTGGAAACACGTTTCGTGAGCACGCCATGTAAAAATTTCCTATCAATTCCCACATACGGTGATACAGTAATTTCTCTAATGCCCACAACTTTTATATCTTACTTGTTGATTTAGCTTAAGCGGGAATTTCGGACGCGACTCCGGTCGCCTGTGCGGCGATAGCGACGAGCACATAGAACGCAACGCAAGCGCCGAGCGAGTCCAGTTGACTCAGTGTGATCACCAAGGCGCCCAGTACACACAGCAACGTGAACTGTACGCGCTTGCGGCCACTCATGCCGAATCGGCGATTCACTGCGTCAGACGCCAAGCCGCCTAGAGCGCGTGCAAACATGTTCATAAGTATAAAAGACGACGCCACGGTGGCGGCGTTGGTCTTCGACAGTAAGTAGCAGATATTGTCGTCTGTCGGGGTGCAGCCACTCTTGGTGAATTTGGTGTAAAAGTAGAGCGCTCCCATGTTGTTGAGCTGTAGCTCTGTGCCGAAGCTCGCAGCATATTGAGCGATCATAACCAGGACGTTCAAGTCCGTGAGCACAATCCTGAATGACTGAAGCATGCTCATCGGTTTCTGCTGCTCAGACTGCGTCACGGGCAGGGTACTGGAGCTACCGCTAATGCTTATTCGTGCCGGAGCAGCTCGGCCATTCTGTTCTGCCTGCCGCTTGGTGTTCATCAGCTCCTGGAAGCCACCGGTCGGACAGCTATCCACAGCGAAGCAGATCACCGTGCCCATGATAACCATAGTACATGTAGTATGACATGGAACATTACGCCGGCAGTTTTTTCCTTACCGTAATTTACCACCAAGAACATTCCTGGGACATTCTTTCGGGCCAGGTGCTATTTTGGCGACGCAACCTCTCAACCACCTGAGAGCGAAAGCCACGTCTTTTCGATCTAAGGGTGGTCTTAGAACCGCTCGACCACTGAGAACAGGTTTTGTCTGAATTTCATAGTTAATTTATTTTTCTCAAAAAAAAATTGAGACCCATGTATATAGATACACATAATAATAACATGTCGAACAAACTAACTTTTGGAAAATACAAGGGCACGCCGATCGAAGAAGTATTCACTTCTAATCCTGGTTATTGTCGCTGGATGCTCAACCAACCAAGTCTCAATATTAATGAGGAAATCAAGATATTCCTCCACTCCAAGTTTCTAACCAATGATAACTCGTATATGATGAGTTGGGGCAAGTACAAGGGTAAGACGCTAAAACAAATTAGTCGCACCGATTCTAATTATGTCGATTGGCTTCGTAAGAACCCATTCGTAATTGAGAAATGTCCTAACTAATTAAAAAAATATCTATTTTTTTAATCCAAATCTAAGCAGTGGTAAAATCAAGAACTTCACCCGTTAGACGATCGTAGGAGAGCTCTTGCTCGCTCACAACCAATACAAGCATGTTGGTTCCCTGGCAACCAGCGTTGACACCCTGGACCTGAATGGCCTGAGGGATATCACGCTCCGTCAGGCGGCTAACGTCAGCGATAAGGACGCGGTTAGTTAGAGACCACGTCTGATAGTCAAGAAGACCATTCACCAGCTCAGGAGTCAGATCACCATTAATCGAAGCAATCTTAGCAAACTCGTTTGTAAATTGATGGAAATCGTAGTCATGGGAGATATCGAAGCACTGAGTCGAACCAATGCGGACGTTGAAGTTGCGAATGCTCGAACCAGGGTGAAGAGTCCAAGGAGCCGAATCGAAAGGACTCTGAAACTCTTGGACAGCAGCAGAAACAAAACTACCGCTCTGTTCGGCAAAAGGAAGGAGGATAACATATATAGCATTTTTAACGGAAGCCGGAAGCTGGAGATCAAATGCAGTATTGAGCTGAGTCGACTGCTTGCCAATGCCAGCACGCTGGTAAAACCACTGTGCATAACAGTCGTTGTAGCGGACTTTCTTAACCGGTTTAGAGATGATATCCTGAGGGTTCTGCAAATGAACGAAAGGAACATACAGTCGAGAAGTCGTGAAAGGCATGTAGGTTCCATCAATTGTAGGCTCAAGCGAGTTAACCACAGCACCCCAAGAAACTGCAACCGAACCAGCGACACTAAGAGCATTGTACATTGGGTTTGGACTGGTCGCAGAAGCAACCATTACATGGCATACATTGCCACTCGATAATGTTGTTCCCGTTAGCGTCATATTTCTCGATGCATCAACATCAATAGCTGAAGTGCCCTGGTTAACGCGGAAACGAAGACGAATTTGTGGATTAGCAATCAAGTCAAGCTCCTTAAAAATCGGATGTAAATCAGTAAGCTTAATCTTGAGCAATATAGTTCCACGTCCCCATAATAGCACCAAATGAACCAGAGCCAGCTACGAACGCACCGCGACCAAGTCGATTAGCAATAAAAGTCGTGGCAGATGCAGCACCAGTAGACGGCCACGACGTACATGAGTCAGCTCCAGCATTAGGAGGGTTCGAGAGAAGACGCTTAGTAAAACCATCATTTGCTACCGATGCCGTAGCAGAAATAGTACCGGCGGTGAAGGTAGTAGAGATTGCCGTGTTATTCGAAAACCCGTCTCCGGTGGTAGCAGCTGTACTACTATACTTGGTTGATTGAGCAGCATCCGGGTATAGAAACGATTCAGCGCCATGCTTCTCAACATACTGAAGGCTGTACCCTGTCTGAGCACGGATATTGTTCCAAAACAGCTTATAATCAGCCATCGAAACTATAGTCTTACCATTAGCTCCAGAGACATCGAGTCGATAACATTGAAATTGCCACACTTCAGACCAACACAAAATCGGTTGGCTGCATACTGTACATTTGTAGCGTGCGTGTTTTTCATCGAAACCTTGTATGGTAGCACAATGTAAGCATCGCGGATGCAGGCAAATCCTTCACTACCATTAAGCTGAGACGTAGCGTCGATAGTGATAACACCGTTTTGGTATGAACCTTGGTTAAGATCGATAACAAAAGACACGCGCTTGCCAGAGGAGACCTTAATCTCCGTATCACTCTTGAGCGAGCTCTGGTAAAGGTACTGGTCGGAAAGTTGTGCTTCAGACATCGTTGAGATTCTATATGGCATGTAATATACTTTATCAAAAATTAATATTATGGAACTCGTCAAGCCTATCACATCTGATCATGATCTCATCGAACTTGCCAAGCGTATTGGGGTTCATCTCGATGGTATATTTGAGTCAAACGAGATCGCAAAGCCACTTCCGAAGAAAGGTTCATACCTGGTTCTACTTAGACCGCCTAATCTCGATGTAGGACACTGGACGGCTGTTCATAATGGAGAATATTTTGATAGCATGGGAGAAGCGGCGCCTACTAAGTATGGGGTCGGGCGATATAATCCCAAACAATATCAAGGTACGTATAACGATTACTGTGGAGGCTTCTGTATGTTTTGGCTCTATTCCAAGCAGCACAAAAGACCTAATGTATTCAAGAACATGAAAGATCTGAATTTTTTAATTCTGTATTAAATATGTTTCAGGGAATATTGCAATCATGTATCGTGAATTAACGATTTCCAGCGACGTTCCAGCTCCCAAGCTGACTAAAGCCCTCAAGACAGGTAAGCTAAGTCTTACATCTGATCAACTCAAGGGTTCAGGCTTTGTTATCCATCTCCACCCAGCTTCGTATGAGAAAGCGCTAAAGGCACACAAGGCAGGTCGTGGTGTTAGACTTGACATTACCAGACACGAGATCAAGAAAGGTTACAAGAAACTCCAAGGGGGATCCATTTGGAGTAAAATCAAATCTGGGTTATCAACAGCATTCAAATTTGTAAAAGACAGCGGATTGCTTTCAAAGGGATTAGACGCGGCGGTTCCGGCTCTTGCGACAGCGTTTGGAGCCCCTCGAGCAGGAATCCCCGCAAGAGCAGCTATTAAGTCATTGACAGGGGTTGGAGTATATGACTCTGACAGCGATGTAGAGAAAGAAGGTGGCCGTATTTCGGTAGCGGATGTTAAGAAGGCGGCAAAGAATGCACTATCCTATGCTAAGCGAAAGGGGCTTCTAACCGATGCGGTCGATGCAGGTGAAAAGTTTTTACTATCAAAGGCAAGCAAACCGGAACATGAAACTCTAATCAAGTCAGTGCGAGGTGAGGTAAAGAGACGTTATGGTGTAGGAGTTTCTAAGAAATTAGCTAAAGGCAGTCCTGAAATGAAGGCTAAAATGGCCGCTTTGCGTGCTAAACGGCGAGGGGGGAGTTTTCGGTTATGAGAGTTGGATAAAAAAATTAGCCATTCGATTATTTATTTTTTTGGACGAAGCAGAAGCATGATCGAGACTGAAGTATCACGGAAATTAACCTTCTGGTCGTTTTGATTAAAGATTGAAATCGTGATTGATGTGCGCGATCCATTATAACAGTTCATCCAGGCATATTGACTTGGCTTATAGCTGATTAATTGACCTACCTGAGCATCACCACGATCAAACGCACTAAGAATATCACCAGAGGCTACATACTCGTTCTTAATTAGATCACAACGAACGATGTAAGAAGATGTAGGATGGATCTGAGGAATTGTATTACTGAGTGGACACGCGTTGTTGTTGGCAAACCAGTACCGCCTGACAAATAAAGACCACTTGCCGGTCGTGTCCAAGTGCCACCAGCCGTAGGAAGTGTCGTTGGAGTAGCGCTAAAATCGAATTGAGCAGCATAATACACACTGTTTTCCGTTAGTTGAATATAGAAAACGTTCTCACCCGATGGATTAATTAAATACGCTCCAGCATTTACGAGAGCTGTCTGGATGCTTCGATTTATATCAGTATAATTGTAAAGCCCCTCAGGCAAGCCAACAGATACAGTGGATGTGGTTCCAGCTGTCGGAACTTCAATTTTAAAGGAACTGTTCCAGAATTGAGCGGCGTCAATGTTGTATTCAGAGTTATACATCGAAATCGATTGAACTGCACATGCTACATCCTTAAAATCGGCAGCACTACCAGGGAAGCTGTATTTCCATGTGCTGTTGTATCCGTCTTGAACGAGGTTAGTGGAATCGAGTTTAGCAAACGAAGCGCACATGGGTTATGTATATTGATTCACTCAAAATATTATTAAATTATTGCCCAATATCGATCGGCCTATCGAAGTTATATCTGATTTGACCTTTGACTGAATCCACGAACAGCATCTGTCCTTTGTGCTCCATGGCTTTATTGTAGTAATAGACGATTGATCGTTCATCAACGCCTTTGATGTTAAAATCCTTTACAACCATCTGTAAATCACGCTTCGAATTCGCTTTTAGAATCGCTACGTACTCTAAATTCAACCGAATTATCTTATCAGTGGCAAAGTAGCTGTGGCTTAGGAATATGGTTGAGAGTTTAAAGTGTCGTCCACGTGTATAGTAATGAGAGAAGATATTCTTCTGAAGTAGTTTATCATTGCTATAGTCATCGATGATAACAAGCTCCGGTTTGTTAGAGCTTAATAAAGTATGACGCACCTGATCTACTTTAGGAGGGCTATCTGGGTCAGCAAATGTGATGAATCCTTCCAACTTTTCCCGGAGATACTCATAAAGCTCCTGCTGTGGATTACGAGCAATGATAGTTAGATGAGCAAATACGTGAGGAGAATGCTTGAGAATAAACATACAAAGATTGTTCTTCCCTGAAAAGCTTGGGCCGAGCACAATCATTCTAAACAAAGCTTTCATACCCAATGCGGGTATATCACCCATCGAAGCAGACTTGAATTTTTTCGGAATCGAAGCGCCAAAGTCAGGAATAGCACTCATGACTTAAATCGTTTGATCTATATAGGATTAAACAAAATGAGTTCCGGTTTTTCATATCCACAGCCTACATTTCAATCAGCCATTTATAATCCTTCATTCTATCTTTCGTTAGACTCGAGTGGTTATCTAACATACGATTATGCGCAGACACTATATTTGAGCAAGGATGATTACAGGATGGGCTACCTTAGCGGAGTAATAGCGGGATCTGCTTCGTACAGCAAAACTTTGATTCTCGATTCGTCCGGCAATATTAGCGGAATTAATAGCTTTGGAGCTTCTACTATTACTGGAGCGCTACAAACCGGATCCCAACCCAATATAACGTCTCTCGGATCTTTATCAGGTCTCACGATCGGTGGAAATTTATCGTTCAGTGGTTCATCGCGCTCGATATCGATAACAGGCACTTCAAGCTACATCGATTGTCGAGAATATCGCCAGAACGGGACTATATACGATTTGGGCCTTCTTGAATACATAAACGGAGTTAGTTTTGGTACCGCAACGCCAAATAAATTCCTATTATGCGACTCAAGCTCGAATATCGGAGGCCTAAGTTCGGTAACGGCTACTACTCTGACTTGCACGAACTTGCGCCAGGGCTCGACGTATTATGACCTATCAAGCTTTTTAACATCTATTCCAACTTCCCTCTCGCTCAATAATCTGTCAGCGAGTGGGGATATCAGCTGCTCCGGCGTTATCAATGGGGTTTTAGCGTATGGAAACCAATCAGCTATAACAACAGTAGGATCGCTGACAGAGTTTGGGATCAACTCTACAGCAACGAATGAATATTTCTCGATCACTGGTAGTGGATTGGACTTTCTTGATGGTTCTTACACACGAATGATGACTCTGACCGGGTCGAATACGACTCCTGTTCAATTCCAGATCGAAGTCCATAATGGCAATCGATCAACCACAGCGAACGCGTCATGGATTGGGAACATCACAAACAACGACCTCAGATTTGGGGTCAATAACTCGACGTCGATGATTTTAACTACCACAGGTCGTGTTGGTCTTGGTACTACAAGTCCTTCAGCTCCGCTGCACGTCCCTGGCAGCAACAGTTTTGTATTTGGAGCAGGCAGAACGACAGTGTATCGCCTCAGAGCAGATAGTGGAGCTACAGAATCCGCTCTTGGCCCGATCACATATTTAGTAGCGGGTATATTCGGAGGATACATTGCCTGTACAGCCATGGCGATGACGTCGCATCGACGCCTTAAAAAGAATATTCAATCATGCCCAATTGATCGTGTGAAGCGGCTCTACGATAGCTGTGAGGTCAAGCTCTATGACTGGATCGAGTCAGAAAACAAGCCTGGACAAGAAATTGGTCTCATAGCTCAGGCTTTGGTCTCAGCCCATCTAACTGATTTGATATCGATCTTTTACAGAGATGATATTGAAGAGGGAGAAGATCCAAGCCTTGAACCAGCTAAGCAACAGCTCAATGTTGATTACAGTCGAATATCGGCTTATAATATGAAGATGATTCAGCATCTTTTGGGTGAGATAGATAGATTAAAAGATCGTTTGGCTAATATAGAGTCATGAGGATTGAGCGCTGGGAGTTAAGCCCTTTAAAGAGCAAGAAGTATCGAGTATGGGTACGTCTTGATACGGGAAAGTTGCGCAAGGTTGATTTCGGGGCTCGTGGATACGCGCAATATCGGGATCAAACGCCTCTGAAGGCTTTTAGTCATCTTGATCATAATGATGAGGAGAGACGTCATCGATACTACCTTAGACACAAAGTTGATTACCCAGAACCATCAGCAGATTTCTATGCTAAGAAGTTTCTTTGGTAATAATATACAAGAAATGGGTTGCGTACCAAGCAAAGATCTTAAATCGAATTTAACTGCTGATGAACCTACTCAGGCAATTGCTTCTTTATTCATGCGCGCTAATCAGATCGTAGCTCTCGGAGATAGTGCACTCGTTCCTATCAGAGATGCGAAGACGGGGGAAGATGCTATCATGGAAATACATGTTGGAGAGAAAAAAATTAGTATATATCGCGGAATGGCGAATAAAGCTGTTAGATCTGGTATTGTTTAGATAGCAAACGTCTTTACAGACTTCGGTTTTTTTTTTAGCTGAGTATGCCCATACTTTCCCTCCTTCCGTCTGGGTTGACGCATCCGTTTTCTGGAGCGTCTTGTCAAGATCCGTTGTCCAAACAGCTGCCTGGGTCTTTTGAGGGCGGTCATGGATGATAAGATTTTTCATGATGGCTTTTAGCTCTGCGACGTTGAGATCAGCGTTGTCGCCATATCTACCACCTGAGCTGGAAATAATTCGGGGATCGAAAAAGAACATCTTTATATCAATCGGACGATAATATCCTTGAGCTCAGAATCCGAAATTAAACGATTGGAGTACATATCCACACTAAGCGATTTCAGTTGCTTGATGATTGAAGGATTATCATTGCCTAATTCAAGATCTCCTTTCAGCTTGTCATATTCAGCTCTTAGAGAGTCTAACGGATCCTCAAGGTGGTCATGGAAGTTATACTGAAGATGTGTAATCGCAAGGATCTCTTTGAACAGTTTTCTATCATCAATACTGAGCTTGTCATATGAAGCTTAATTGATATGATTCTTATACACAAGAGTTCGGATCATTGATTGTAGACTATCACTGATTTGACATTCGGGTCGCATTTGCGGCGATTGGGTTGAACAATCACAAGGGTTTTGTTATCAAGATCAGGAATTCTGATATACTTACTACCCAGCTGACGGTAGATGTATGCCGATGGGGTGGCCAAACCTTGAATCTCATTGAGGTTGTATATTCTCCCGCGACGGACAACTCCTTCAAGCGGGGCGACGCCAGCACCTCTTAGCCCACGACCCTGAAGATTCCTCTTAACCCCTGACCCCACTCGATCAACCATGTTATTCACAGTTTGGCGAACCGTGCGCTCGTCTTGTCGATCACTGAATTGATCAACCTCGGTGTAGTTTTTAGCATCAGAGTAGCTTTTAGCCTTGATTTGATAGACAGCCTTGGTCGCTTTCATGGCAGCGGTTGCCGCCTTCAACGCTGATCTTGCGGATTTTGAGTTATTACCCTTTACAGTTCGCTTCGTCTCATCTTCCTCTGAGCTTCGCCATACTTTTGGAATGCGGCTTCTGACTCATCGTGGAGTTTTTGCAAAGTGTCATAGCGATATTGAGTACCCTCTGAGGATTTGATACGAGCTGATGTATCTGTCGATTTTGTATTGTCGAGGATCGCTCGATTCAATAGCTGAAGATTAGCTTCAAAATTATTTTTCAATGCTGGATCACCATTCTCATAG